TTCAAAATCTAAAATCTTTCCATAAAACTAATACAAATATGAAACAACAAAGAATAACCAAAACAGAGAACCCACTAAGGAATCATTGACGGACCTCGCCGGAAAAAGCTCATCTCTTTCGCCGAAAGAGAAGAATGGGTTTGGTTAGTACGACGTACCAAAAAAACAAATCCGAATAAGATGGCATTAGACCGATTTTGTGCTTTGTTTAAGATAGTTATAGTCAATAAACTAAATTAAAATTTGGCTGAAAGCGTTGTGAAGTTTCTGTCCATAAAATGGAACTAATTATAGACCCCAACCAAATCCTCATCCTGTCCAACAACCTCCATTTTGAATACTATTTCAAAAATTTGTTGAATTGGTGTGATGATATATTTGGTAATTTTGTTCTTTTGTAATGGAGGCAGAGGTGATTTAGGGTAGAGAAGGGTGTTGAATGGCGGAGGAGAGAATTGGAGGAGAAGGGGATGTGAAAATTAGGTGGGGTCCACATTATTTTAGGAAAAAAAAAACAACCTAATTTTAGGTAAGCAACTCGCATCCCAGAGAGTGCATTTCACGCAATGGGGGCTGACATGATCGGGTGTTTAATTGATCTTTCATTTGTGAATAAATAAAGTATCTAGCTGGAAATGGCCTCTCAGTTGAGGTGTTCAGTTGATCGTTGAGGACAACTTAAAAGGGGCCGTTTATGTATTTCGCCATTTTTTTTTAAGTTCTACTGTAGAAGCACCAAAAACATTTTCCCAGAGAGCATCTTTATACATGCCAAACCAAAAACCTTCTCTGTTATTTTTTATGTTTTCCTTGACTTCATCTCTCTTCTACATGACTATGAAAACGAAAAGGCAGTCATACATGCATATCATGATTATAACCTCTAGTTCTTATGCATTATTTACCCGTGGTATTGAATTTTTGCGCGTGCAGGAATTGCTTGTAACTGGTTTTACAGCCGTCGTGCTTCACATCATGGCATCTTATTACAGATAGTCTACGTTCTACACTTGTTGAAGAAGATGCAGTTGCCTTGAGTTAGCTCTCAAATTTTGTAATTCTATTTGTTTCAGAAATTTGTCTATTTTGTCTATAGGAGTTCTAATATTCACATTTGGTACTCATCATTGAAGAGAACCAACCGGCAGTTGTAAGAATGAACTAGTTTTGAGGATTTTAGGATTAAATGAGACCACAATCTTTTCAAAATTAAAGATGGTTTCTTCTTCCATTTCTTGTTCTTTTACTTATGAGTTCTTAATTTTAGCTCCAAAATGCGTCACATGGCTCAAGGGATTATCTTATTGTGTATAACCAAAATTGAACTATTTTTGTTCCACTTGTAGGATTTTACTGAGAATTTGGCAGTATGTTCGAATCATCTCGATTTCTCTTCAATTTAGCTCAGTTCAGTTAAATTTTGGGTAATTTATTTTCAAAATATGTCAAATAAGAAAACTATTGTTATTAGGATTCTCACTTATTACCTATATATCGAACATCAATTCTCATTTCAACAACAATAAATGAAAGGACCAACACTAATTTCAAATGAAATGAGTAACACTAATTTTCAAAATATGCATACTTGTTTTTATGATCTTTTGTAGGTGCATTATCTTTTTTCTTTCTTTAATAGGTGGATTATCCTTCATTATACCATCAATGTACATTATTTTAAAGTTTGGTTCTTGTTGATATCCTTCATCCTTCATTATACAATCAATGTACATTATTTTAGATGAATGAAAGGAAAGAATTAAAAAAAAACAAAGTAATAGTTTACAGAACTATTTCAACATTTGTAAATTTCATTCTATCCTTGTCTCATTTAAGGCAACTAAAAATATTATGATTTATGAAGTTATAGATTTTCATTTGTGAATAAATCCCTACTGCTTTACTTGTTGCACTTTTTAAATTGTGACTTGATTAATTGACACATGCTTTAGCACTCTGACTTTTATCTTATTCGAATTTTTTGAAATATTTTTTTGTGGATCCATCATTCGATTTGGATATGACACTTAAATCGATTTTAAGAAGTAAAAATTAATTTAACCCGATAATTCACTAATGGGCCATTTGCGAATCTGGCCATTTCTTAAGGCTTTTTAAATTTTCATTAAAGCAAAGATGCCTATGTTAACACAACATCGTAAAATGAGGCTAAATTTTAAACCTGCTCATAAAATGGCCAGGCTATGCAAAAAAAGTGCATATATTTGAACCCAAAGTAGCCGAGCCCAGCTACCTAAACTCCAATCCAAACCTGAGCTCAAGTCGAATTTGGAATTCATCGGAAGATTATAATAGTGCAATCTCATCAGCTTCAGTACTAAGGGAAGTTCGAAAAATCCCTCTCGTCGGAGACCGACAAACGCCGTCACGCCATAAATCGGAAAACCCGATCCTCACCGGCGTATAGATTTTAGCACATTCAAACACAAAAAGCTCCGCGTGAGCTTATTTGTTGAGGCAGCTTCCGAAACCCTAGATTACTCCGAGTCTCCCTTGGGAGGCTGAAATAATCAGCAAAAATGAGGATTATGATAAAAGGAGGAGTATGGAAGAACACGGAGGACGAGATTTTAAAGGCGGCGGTGATGAAGTATGGGAAAAATCAATGGGCTCGTATTTCTTCTTTACTCGTTCGTAAATCTGCAAAGCAGTGTAAAGCTCGCTGGTATGAGTGGCTCGATCCTTCCATTAAAAAGGCAAGTTATTCTTTTTTTAATTGATTAATTAACCTTGTTTCTGTGTTATATATATATGTTGTTACTGTTTGTTCATTGGTTTTGATAAATGTTATGTGAAAATTGTTTTGTTATTAGTAATTTTTCAGTGTTTGGTAGGGTATAAATGTAGATGTTAGGGTATAATGTAGATGACGTGTCAGCCAAGGGCGTGACCTGGTGGTCAATGAAGTGGGTTAAGAAACATGAAGTCTCACGTTCAATTCCCAACGGAGGCAAAAAAAACTAGATGATTTTTTCCCATTTGTAAGCCTTGGTGGTGAAATTAGTCAGTCAGAGTTAATCGGGTGCGTGCAAGCTGGCCAAGACACCATGGTTATAAAAATGTAGGTGACATATGCTCATAACGCATGAGCAGATGTAGCGTTGAATTTATGGATTCACCTGGCCTAGTAGCTTGTTTCATGCCTCGACTCTCCCTCGGTTTGTTCGGAAATCATGGTAGTCTTTTCATGGAGATTATTGGGAACGGAAATGTGCATGGGGTTAAGAACAACGACAAAACTGCCTTCTGTCTGTTGCCATGGAATGCATAGGTAGGGATTGTCTTATGCTTGGAAAGCCTGTTCCGCGCTCTCTATCCCCTTTTTTCGGGGTCCCCATGAACCGCTTTTTAGTATTCGTGTTCGCCTTCTGTCTTCCTTCCCTTCCACACAGAAGGATCATGGGGTTCTCCCAACATACATATCCGGGGGTGCAACCGTTTAGTAGGCAAAGATCGGAACGGGCGGATCCCATGTATATATGTTAAAAGATCCAATAAATAAGTATAAATGATAGATTTTTGAACCTAGTAAATCAAACGGGATGTAGTAAGATAACGAACTCGTAACCATAATGTTCCAATTGATTAACCTTGTTATTGTATTATATGGTGTTAATATTTGTTCATTAGCTTTGAAAAATGTTTTATGTAATTATTTATTTGTTATATTAGTAATTTTATTAGCTGATACATATTAGTTGAGTATATACTTTAGACATTGGCACTTTTTTGCTGTAGGTTTAATGCTTTATAGTAGTGGTTTAGCCTTCCAGAAATCTATACGTTTAGAAAATATGTAGAACTTCTAATATGAGTACTTTTTATTTATATTTTCATAATATTGGCCTGAGATGAGTTTAAATGGAGTGCATGGTTAGTGAGGATTCATATAGCCGACCTCGACTTGTTTAGGACCGAGGTGTAGTTGTTGATGTTGTAATATTTTTTTTTTTGTGGAAAATGTTTTATTATTTTCTGGAGCATTTTTCAAGGTTTAGTAGGGTGTAAAAGTACGTGACACATATGCTCATAGTGAGAGCTGCAAGATAGTGTATGAGGATAATGATATTAGGGTTTTTTGAGTACTAATTTTTGACAAACAATGTCTAGGTGTTGATTCGAACAAGTGATATGGCATACATGTTGAAGATTTCTGAGATGGAAAAATGACATCTGCTATTAGTGTGGAAGTTATTTTCCTCCAAATTTGAGTAAAGTATTTAACATTCTCCACAATCCATGATAACCAAGCCGGAATATATCATGTGGAAAAGGTTGAGGGACTTATGACTTAGCCACTTAGGTAACAAGTTCGAGCCTTGTGCCATTCAAATTAATGTTGAGGGGTGGGCCCATTATCCCCGAGTTTCGAAGGTTGCGATTGGTCCTAAGGATTGGCCCAAAACGTAGTCTCTGGTTGTTTGAAGTTGGTTTTTTTTAGATATGCAATTGGAATCCGCCGTAGTTTGTTAGTGACATATGACCATCCTTTTTGTGTCCCTTGTTTTTATCTATATATGACCATTTTTTCGGTGCCAATTGGTTATTTAACACCTTCGAAGCATTCATTGTATCTTGGTTTTGGTTCTTAATTCTTGTTTAGTTTAATGCGCCATGCAATTTATCTTTGTAATCTCTAGCACTGTTATATCTTTGTGGATAACTATTATCTTTTCTTCCTATTCCATTTGAATGAGAAAAGTTCTGCTATGTGAGCATACCATGGCTTTCTCCCATTTTTTTTTGGTTTCTGTATTATATGCTGTTAATATTTGTTCTTTGATTTTGAAAAAAGTTCTCTGTGAAAAATTATTTTCATTTATATGAACTTATTTCCTTTTTAATCCATTTGAAAAAACAGACCTCTTTCTAAATGTGGAAACTATGTAACTTTAAACTTCCCATTTTACCCTTAAGTATACGGATTGTTTTGGACCACAAGCTTCAAAAGTCTTCCATTCTTTCTTAAATTTCTTTTTTTAAAAAAAGAAATAGATTCACATAAATTGAAATAGAGGGAGTAGTAATTTGTCTTTGGAGAAATATTTAATTTCGGAGTACTTTTTATAAATGTTTGGTAGGGTATATAAATGTAGGTGAGATATGCTCATAGTGCAATGTGGTATGGGGACAATGATTTTAGTGTTTTTTTGAGTATTTTGACAAACAATGTCTAAGTGTTGATTCGAACGAGTGATGTGAATGTGAGTTAAATATCTCTGAAAAGGAAAATTACTTTTGCTAATTAGTGCCAAAGTTATTTTCCCCCAAATTTCCCCCCGGGTTTAGTTCAAGCGGCAAAAGTTGAGGGACTTGTGGCTTAGTAATAGGTTTGAGCCCTGCGCCATGCAAACTAAGTATAGTATTTAAGTGGAGAAGGATAGATGGCCGGGTCCATTATCCTCGAGCTTCCAAGGCTGCTTTTGGTATTTCTCGTTCTTTAAAAAAGGATAGTTTCCTCCAAATTGGAGTAAAATATTATACATTTTCCTCCGTCTATGATAAACCAAATTGGGAAATGATTTTGTCAAGTCAACCATAACAAATATACCTTTCATAGTTTCTAGGTGTTTGGAGTTGGGATTCTTTGAGATATGTTATTGGATTCCACTGTACTTAATTTTCTTGCATGGTTGTTAGTGGTGTGATCATCCTTTCTGTGTCTTTGTTTATTTATGTATGATCATTCTTTCTGTGTCATTTGATTATTTGTACCTTATAGCATTCATTGTATCTTGGTTTTGGCGCTTTGTTCTTGCTTAGTTTAATGCGCCATGCAATTTATCTTTGTAATGTCTGTCACTGTTATTTCTTTGTGGGTAATTGTTACCTTTCTTCCTATTCCATTGTGAATGAGAAAAGTTCTGCTTTGTGAGCATGCTATGGCTTTCTCCGAGTCTGCTTTTTGGTTTCTTTACTCAGGATACAATTTTTGAAACCAGTATCTGTATAGAAATTTCTTTCTGGGCTTTTTCAAACCTTTTCTGGTTTTCCATTTATCAACGGCATAAAATGATTTTCTGAACTGAGAAAGTGGAAAGTACGCGGATTTTTCCAATTTACCTCAGGCTGTTAATAGGAACTTATATCTGAGTTTAACAACTTATTAACATCCTCGCTGCTCTTTTGTTTTTCCAGACTGAGTGGACTAGAGAAGAAGATGAGAAACTACTTCACCTTGCAAAGCTCATGCCTACTCAATGGAGGACTATTGCGCCAATTGTTGGTCGTACACCATCCCAGTGCCTTGAACGCTATGAAAAGCTTCTCGATGCAGCTTGTGCGAAGGATGAAAACTATGACCCTAATGATGATCCAAGAAAATTGAAGCCTGGAGAGATTGATCCT